GCTAAGTAGGGTCGGGCCTGGTTAGTACTTGGATGGGAGACCGCCGGTGAATACCAGGTGCTGTAAGCTTTAACGTTTTCATCACTACTTATCTAATACACTGGCCTATAGGATGGCTGATCTTTAAATAGCTCACTCTTTGTGGTAGTCCTTGCTTACGGCCATACCACCCTGTCTGCGCCCGATCTCGTCTGATCTCGAAAGCTAAGCAGGGTCGGTCCTGGTTTGTACATGGATGGGAGACTGCCTGGGATTTTGGAAGCTAAGCAGGGTTGTGCTTGGTTAGTACTTGGATGGGAGACCGCCTGGGAATACCAGGTGCTGTAAGCTTTAGCGTTTTCTTCACTACTTATCTAATACACTGGCCTATAGAGTGGCTGATCTTTAAATAGCTCACTCTTTGTGGCAGTCCCTGCTTATGGCCATACCACCCTGTCTGTGCCAGATCTCGTCTGATTTTGGAAGCTAAGCAGGGTTGTGCTTGGTTAGTACTTGGATGGGAGACCGCCTGGGAATACCAGGTGCTGTAAGCTTTAACGTTTTCTTCACTACTTATCAAATACTCTGGCCTATAGAGTGGCTGATCTTTAAATAGCTCACTCTTTGTGGCAGTCCCCGCTTACTGCCATACCACCCTGAGGGCGCTAGAGAGTTGCTGGTGTACAGGAAGTGTTTGGCTGCAGTGGGTGAGAAGGGCTCACCAGACCTCTTTGTGTTTGTTTTGTTATAAATACGTCTTTATTTTCATCAGTGTACTTTTTTTTTGTGTTTAAGTTTGTCCTCCCAGCAGCGGTTGCTGTTTGGGAGGACCATCTTTGTTTTTTGTTTTGTTTTTTGCGTCGGTTTTTGTTCTTTTTTTTTTCTCTATGGATGGACCAATGGTAACTGATACAGCAATGGCGGGGGAAGCACGGCGGAGGAATGACAATGGACTGGATGAAGGACAAGGAAATGGTAACGAAAAAGATAAAGAAACAAGGAGGGAGAGTGTGAAAAGGGTGTATTTAAAAGAAGCAACGGTGACTGTGGATGTGGCGCACGTGAAAGACGCGAGGGCCGCAGATATCATCAAAGCAGTGACACAGTGGATCGGGGATGGGAGGATTCCGGCAGTTAGACCGAAACAAACAAAGGAGTACGAGATAACATTGGAAAGCGAAGATGACACAGAGCTTTTAATAGATGGACTGATTATCAAGGGAGAGAACTGCGAAGTGAAAAGATTACAGAACAGAGACTACGTTGTCTCCTTCATGCATCTGCCCGTCTACCTCGCTGACGAAGAGATTTTAAATAAACTGGAGGGATGGGGAGTTTCCCCAATTTCAAAAATGAAGCGGCGTTTTTATCCGGGCACCAGCATTGAGGACCGGACGAGATATGTAAAGACGCAGTTCCCGAAGGAGGTGGCCTCCCTCCCTTACAGCACAAAAATAGAAATGGCAGAGGGTCCACAATACTTTCGGGTGATGCACAGCCATCAGGTGAAGACCTGTCGGCTGTGCATGAGCCCAGACCATGTGGTGAAGGATTGCCCGGAGTTCAAGTGCTTTAAATGTGAGGAGAGGGGGCACTTCACGGGGAACTGTAACGCCGTGACGTGCCCGGATTGCAATTTGGTTTTAAATAAGTGTGAGTGTTGGATGGAGGGCGAGGGCGAGGAGGAGGAGGAAGAGCAGCAGGTGGGCGGGCGGGTGCATGAACGAGACAACGAGCAGCGAGAGGACGAATCAAGAGTACGAGGCGAAGGACCAGAAGCAAATAACAATACAGAACAACAGAAAGAGGGTAACCAGAATCAAATAACAATACAGAACAACAGAAAGAGTGTAACGAACAGGACATACAAACACAACAGGACGGGGGGATTTGGACACAGATCGTTTTGACTGACAGCTTGCAAAGTGCTTTGGATACTGTGGAACTGGACGATCAAAGGAATAAAGAATTGAGCGATGCACAACAGGAGGGAATTTTATTTACACAGATGGATGTGACTGACAGTTTGCAAAAGGTGTTGGACACTGTGGAACTTAACGATCAGAGTAATAAGGAACAATCTGCTACAAAGGAAAGTGAACAAGGAAAAGAAAACGAGGAGACACAGGGGAAAGCATCAAAAAGAAGAAGATCCGTAAAGGTAATGCCCAATTTAGAGACTGCAAAAAAAAGAGTGCTTAAAGATGATGGTATTGAGTGTACGAATAAGTATGAGTTGTTAAAGGGTTTGGAGGAGATGGACTGAGTTTATGGGTTTTACGTATGTTTTTATATGTTTTATGCTTTTAAGAATTGTTACTTTTAATGCTAGAGGGCTTTTGGACATAAGAAAATTTGAAAAAGTGAAAGAAATGTGTAAAGGAGAAGATGTGATTTTACTACAAGAAACTAACTGGAGGGAAGGGTACATGACTGAAATAAGGAAACGGTGGAGTGGAGGGATTTTATATAATAATGGTGATGGGAGGCTGGGAAGAGGAGTTGCGGTTTTAATAAAAGAAAACTGGTGTATCATGTAAAACCATGTATAATGACAAAGACGGGAAATGTATAGCGTTTGAAATGGAGTATGGAGGGAAAAAAGTAATTATGGTTAATGTTCATGCACCAACAGAAGAGAACGAAAAAAAGAGTATTTTAATGTGTTACGAGATTTTTTAAAGAAACACGAAGAAGTTATTATGATGGGTGATTTTAATACTGTTTTTAGTAAATTAGAAATGGCTGAGGGAATGGTTTTTAAAAATGATAAAGGAAGAAAAGAACTGAAATTATTAATGGAAGAAAGTAATATGATTGATGTATGGAGAGAAAGGAATGAAAAGACTAAAGAATAATCAAGGAGGCAGTTAGTCTGGAATTGTATGTGTCAGACAAGAATTGATTTTATTTTATGCACAAGAAATGT